TCGACGACGCGTGCGCGGCGATCCGCGGCTCCTGCGACGCGACCTGCGGCTTCTGCGGCGCGCCGTCGGCCGCGCCGAGCCCCGCCGGCGGGGGCGCGGCGCCGACGGCCCGCGCGCGCGCGCCGACGGCGCGGCCGACGGCGCCGCGGCCGCCGACGCGGCCGCCGACGCCGCGGCCGCCGACGCCGCGGCCGGAGGCGCGCTCGACGCTCCCGCCGACGGCGGCGCCTACGGCCGCCGCCGGCGCGGCCCTCGCGGGGCTCCCGAAGGCGCTCCGGGTTGTGCGGACTCGGCCGCTCGCGGCCGGCGCGGCGCTCGCCGCGGCCGTCTTCGCCGCCTCGGCGCTCGCGCTGCGCCGCCGCTGGCGCCGCGGCGCCAACGCGCGCCGCGGCTACAGCCACTTCAACGACGCGTCCCAGCGCGTCGTCGAGCACACCTTCGAGATGCCCGAGGTCGCGGGCCTCGAGCGGCCGCCGTCGCCGACGTCCAAGGACAGGGGCTGGGGGGAGTTCGTGTAGTTTTCTATGGTTGTGTCGATTGGATCTGCTTTGCGCGATGTTCTTTTGAGTGGCCGCTACTGGCATGAACTTACGGCGGATCCCGTCACGCGGCGTCGGGTTTCGTGAAGCTCAGGGTCTTGCTCGTCGACGCGACGTACTTCTCGCCGGCGACGAGGCCCGCGGCCTCGAAGTAGGCGCCGACGTCCGCGCGGACGTAGGACGGGTAGTGCGGCTCGTTCATGTTCTTGAAGAGGTCGAGGTTCGCGTCGAGCGCGGGCCGGTCGCCGCGCTGGATCGAGTCCGTGAAGACGACCGCGCCGCCGGGCTTGACGACGCGCGCCATCTCTCGCGCCGCGTTCGCGCGCGCGGACTCGGGCAGCTCGTGGAAGAGGTAGACGCACGCGACCGCGTCGAAGCTCGCGTCGTCGAAGGGCAGCGCCTCCGCGTTCGCGCGCACGAAGCTCGCCGCGGCGGCCCGGGGGGCCTTCATGGCGCGCCAGTAGGCGTCGTTCTCGCGCGCCTTGGCGAGGTAGGGCTCGCTCAGGTCGACGGCCGTGTAGGCCGCGTCGGGGAAGTTGTCGCGCGCGAACGTCGCGACGCGGCCCGTGCCGCAGGCGACCTCGAGGATCGACGCGGGCTTCGCCGCGCGCTTCGCGAGGGGCAGCAGCGTCGCGCGCTGCATCGCGTCCTGGCGCCCGACGAACAGCGTCTCCGTGGAGGTCTCGTAGACGTTCGCGGACCGCTCGCTCAGCCAGCCGTCGCTCTGGTAGTGGAAGTCGTTGAGGTAGTAGTCCGGGTAGAGGGGGTCCCGCTCCTCGGCGCCCCAGTCCGTGCGCGGCCCGGCGTTCGCCGTGCGGCGGCCCAGCGTGTCCACGGCCTCGCGGACGAAGCGCAGCGACTGGCGCGCGAAGAAGTCCGGCCGCTGCTGGCGGTGGCCGGGCGTCGACATGTCCCACGGCGCGTTGAGGAGCCCCGCGTCCACGGCGGCCCAGTCCTGGTCGTAGGTGAGCACGGCCTCGAGCACGATGCGCGTGATCACCGTCGCGTCCATGCCCATGAGCGAGAAGCCGCCCCCGCCGCGGCCGAAGCCCGCCGCCTCGCTCGACGAATCGGCCGTCGCGCTCGAGAAGCGCCGGTTCAGGTTGTGGCTCGTCGTCCCCGCGAGCGCGTTGGCGACGAAGTAGCCCGTGCGCGCGGCGTGGCCCGCCCAGTAGAGCGCCGCGCGCGGGCCCGAGCCCGCGCGCCGCGCCGCCAGCGCCGCCGCCTCGCGCAGGTTGTCGAGCGGCGCCGCGGCGCCGCCGCGCTGGAACTCGGCCCACGCCGCGACCGACGCGTCGCACGCGAAGCGCTCGTTCTCGTCGAGGCCCGGCTTCGGGCCGCCCTCGTACTCCTTCGCGACCTCCGTCGGCGTCTCGAGCACGTAGACGTCGTCGGCCGCGGTCGTGGCGACGGGCTTCTCGACCGTCGCGCGCAGCGCGGCGCCGCGCGACGTCGCGCCCAGCGGCGCGCGCAGGGCGCCGACTGAGCCGAGTGCGAGCAGTGCCTCGAGCTTCATGCTTGTTGACGACGTCGACGCAGCGCGGAGAAGGATCCAGTTGGCTGAGAAGGCGGAGAGCGACCCGAGAGGTCGACACTGGATTTACCCTGCACGATGACGTTCAACATCTGGGCTCGAAGCAGCCCCCAACGAGATGTCCAAGCCTCCCCCGCGCAATCGCAACGGCTCGCGCGCGACCCGCGCGCCGGCGCGGTCGCGGTCCGCGAGCGCCATCGCCGCGACGCCGCCGGCGCGGGACGCGCCGAGCACCGTCGCCGCGACGCCGCCGGACCGGGACGCGCCGAGCCCCATCGCCGCGACGCCGCCGGCGCGGGACGCGCCGAGCGCCGTCGCCGCGACGCCGCCGGACCGGGACGCGTGGGACGCGCCGAGCACCAGCGCCGCGACGCCGCCGGCGCGGGACGCGCCGCCGCCCGCCGCGCCCGCCGCCGCGCCGCCGACGACGTGGTGGTGGGAGGACGACGCGTCGGCGGTGCAGCACGACGACGCGCTGCTCCTCGTCTGCCGGCACGCGCGCGCGCCCCTGCCGCCGCGGGTGCTCGCGCTCCACGGCTTCGACGGCGGCGTCGAGCGGACGAACGCGCAGCTCCGGGAGCTCGGGCTCGACGGGAAGCTCGACGTCGTGCACCTCCGGGGCCCCCTGGAGACGGGCCGCGGCCACGGCTGGTGGCCCGCCGACGCGCCGCCGGAGGCCGTCGCGCGCTGCCTCCGGGGCGTCCTGCGCTTCGTCGAGGCCCGGGGCCCGTTCGTCGCGCTCTACGGCTTCGGCCAGGGCGCGGCCGTCGCCGCGGCGGCGTCCGCGACGGGCTGCGCCGAGACGCTGGGCTGCGCGCCGCGGTCCTGGGAGTGGGTCGTCTGCGCCTGCGCCGCGACGGCGGGGCTCGAGGCCGCCAACGACGCGATCCAGCGGCTCCGGGGGACGGCGGCGGGGCTCCACCTGTTCCGGCCGGGCGCGATCGTCATGCCGTCGCTCCACGTGCTCGGCATGCGGGACCACGCCCACCGCGACGAGGGCGTGCAACTGAGCCGGGCCTTCGCCCACGCGACGAACGTGTTCCACGACGGCGCGCACGAGATCCCGCCGCCCGACCGGCGGGACGCGCTCTTCCAGGAGACGCTCGCGGCGTTCGTCGTCTGCCCCTTCATGGCGTAAGGCGGCCGCGCGCCTAGTAGACGCCCTTCACGGGCGGGTCGTCGTCGTCGATGCCGTCGAGCGTGCTCGCGTAGCGGAAGCGGCCGCGGAAGTCGCCGACGGACGTCGCCGCGGGCTCGAAGGTCTTCGTCATGGGGACGAGGTCCGACCGCGCGATGGACACGGCCTCCACGCTGCCCGACACGCGGAGCACGCGCGCGCCGGCGCGGCCCTCGGCCGTGGCCGCGTCGGGCGGCAGGAGCACGACCTTCGCGCCGGACCGCGCCATGACCTCCTCCATGGCCAGGCCCCCGCGGCCCGTGAGGCGGCCCACGGCCTCCGCGGGCACGGGGATGGCCACGGCGATGTCCTGGAGCGCCGCGGACACGGCGCGCGGCGCCGGCGCCGGCGCGGCGCCCTCGCCGACGCCGAAGACGTAGACGCGCGACGACCCGCCGAAGCGCACGCGCGCGCCGGGGTCGAGCCGCGTCAGCTCCCCGATCTTGGCGAAGCCGTCCTCGCCGGCCGTGCCCGGCGCCGCGACGAAGGTGCCGTGCGTCGACCGGATGTCCGACACGTAGGCGACGTCGCCGTCGAACGTCATCGTCGCGTGGTGCCGCGAGATCGAGTCGTGCTCGAGGGGCACGTCGACGCGGTCCGCGTCGCGGCCGAAGGTGAGCTGCGACGCGCCGGACAGGTTCAGGCAGCCCGCGAGGGCGCCCTCCTTGAAGACGTCGAAGTAGAGGTGCGGCTTGGGCTTGGCGCTCGCGCCGCCCGGCGGCGGCGGCGGCGGCGGCGGCGGCGGCGGCGGCGCGTCGAGCTCGCTGAGGAAGTCGTCGAGGAGCGCGTCCGACGTGCGCGGCTTCTTGCTGGACGGCGCCTCGTCGGCGTCGGCCATGTTTCGTAGGACGGCGCGGGCTGCCGCACCGAGGTCGAGTTTTGATTTGGCGATCCGCCACAGTCGCCTCAAGCAGAGCCGTCGGAGCCGCCAAGGCGTCGACCGCTCGCCCTGGTCGTGCTCACGTGATCCCTCGCGTCCCCTTCCCGTCGAGTCCTGCCTGCCGACCGCTGTGACATGTCGTCATGTCACAGCATGCTGCTCGTCGTCGTCGCAGTCGTGGCGACTTCCCAGGCGACGGACGGACGCCTCTGCGAGTCGGAGTGACAAATAAAAACGAAACGAAGCTGTACACGCCCGTAGCCCAGGCCTAGACGGCGCCGGCCGTCGCGGCCGGCGGCGCGGCGAGGTCCTCCTCGGCGGCGAGCTGGGTGAGCATGGTCGTGATCTGCTCGAGCTCGAGGCCCTTGGTCTCGGGCACGTAGGCGTGGATGAAGTACGTGCCGTAGACCGCGAGGGCGCCGAAGACGAAGAAGGTGAAGGACACGGAGAAGGCGATGAGGGGCGAGGCGAGGAGGGTGACGACGCCGTTGAGCGAGAAGTTGAGGAGCACCGCGAGCGCGAGCGCGGAGCCGCGGGGCTGCAGGGGGAAGACCTCGCTGATGTAGGTCCAGGTCACGGGCCCGTAGCCGACCTGGTAGCCGCCGACGTAGAGGGAGAGCGTGACGATGGACGTCCAGGCGAGGGCGCCGCTCGCCATGTCGAGGAAGAGCGCCGCGACGGCGAGCGACCCCATGGACGCGATCATGATCGCGGACCCGCGCTGGAGCAGCGGCACGCGGCCGTAGGAGTCGATGAGGCGCACCGTGAGCATGGTCGCGACGAGCTTCCAGGCGCTGAGGCCGATGGACGCGCCCACGCCCAGGTCGTAGTCCTCGAAGATCTCCGTGACGTAGTAGAGCACGGACGGCTGCCCCGTGACCTGGGCAGGACGAGAGTGCGAAATTCCCAACTTCAAAGGCTCCTCTCTCGGCCGGTTTCCACTCGTTTCGGCTGATTTTTGGACGAGCGACCATCTCTCGGAACGGTCTCGACGCGTGGATGACTTTTCCGGAACGCGCGCGCGCGGAACGCTCACGTTGAAGCGACGTTGAATCACTCTTGTCCCGCCCCGCCCGTGACCTGCTGGAGCACGACGAGCCCCAAACCCGCGCGGAGGCCGTAGGCGCTCGCGGGCGTCGACGTCAGGTTCTCCACGATCTCGGGGATGGACTGGGGGCCGACCTCGTCGGCCTTGAGCGCCCGCACGTGGCCCGCGAGGCGCTCGAACGCGCCCGGCGCGGGCACCGGCGTCACGAACTCGTACGCCGCGCGCGCCTCGTCCGCGTAGCCGCGCAGCAGGCACCAGCGCGGGCTCCGGGGGACGCCGCTGAGCCCGTAGGCCATGGCCGCCGCGAAGACCATGGCGACCCAGTAGATGTAGCGCCAGCGGCCGACGCCGTGCATGAGCGCCGCGCCGACGGCGTAGCCGACCGTGAGGCCGAGGACGATGATCGCCTCCTTGGCGCTCACGAGCGCGCCGCGGATCGACGGCGGCGCCGTCTCCGCGATGTAGGTCGGCGCGCCGTGCATGGCCAGGCCGATGCCCACGCCGTAGACGACGCGGCCGAAGAGGAGCACGGTCAGGCCGAGCGGCGCGGAGAGGCCCGGCGAGCCGGAGAGGCCCTCGACGAGCGCGCCGGCGCCGTAGAGCGCCGACGCGAGGCGCATCTCCTTGACGCGGCCCCAGTCCGTCTCGTAGCGGAGCACGAGCAGCGACCCCAGCGCCGCGCCGACCATGACCGCCGAGACGATGACGCCGCGGACGACGCTGTTCGCCGCCGCCGCGTGCCAGCTCGTGCCGCTCCACTGCTCGCTGCCCATGTCGTCGAGGGCCACGGCCGTCGCGCCGATGTCGTAGCCGTAGAGGAAGCCGCCGAGCGCCGGGAAGATGAAGCAGCGCGCGAGGTTCTCCCGGCTGTAGTTCCCCTCCTTCTCGGGCACGAGCGGCCGCTCGTTGGGCGGGTCCGTCTCCATGGCGTTCGGCGGTGGTGCGCGACGTCTGGCGGCGCCGCGGTGTGGCTGCTGCAGGCAATTCGAAGCTGCGGACAGCGGCGGCGCGCGCGACTAGCTGCTCATAGCCACGAGATGACTGAGTTTTTCCGCGTGACGAAGACGGTGAAGGTGAGGTGCACGGCGTGAGGTCATGAGTTGCAGCTCAAAGTTCGCCGCCGCGGCGCGCGCCGTCCGCCGCCTCCCCGAAGGTCCTTACTACTTGCCGATGGGGCTGCCCGGCTTGTGGTTGGCCCCGAGCGTGGACGTGTAGGTCTCCGGGTACTCCGAGTCGAAGTAGGGCTCGTAGACCGTCGCGTCGCGGTTCGGGTTGAGGGACTTGGCGAGGCCGTCCTCGTTGTCCGGGTCGAAGAACTGGGAGCAGAAGCAGCAGAGGGGGAGGCGGTTGTAGCAGAGGGCCGCGGCGTTGGCGCCGCGCGCGTCGAGGTCGTCCTTGGAGAGGCCGAAGCGCTCCAGGAGGCGGATGATGCAGTCGTGGGAGCACGAGATCCAGAACGACGTCGAGGGGAAGTGGAGCATGCAGAGGCCGCAGGCCTTGTACTCGATGGACTGGACGAAGCGCGGCGGCTTCACGGTGGCCAGGAGCTCGCGCTGGTTCGCGCGGCGCCGCTCGAGCTTGCCCCGGTAGTCGTACTGGTCCTCGACGACGAGCTTCGGCGCCGCGGCCGGGGCCCGCAGGCCCGGGGGCCGGGCCGCGCCCGCCGCGGACCGCGCGCGGCCGGGCGTCCTCGCCTCGCGCGCGACCAGCAGGTCGAAGCGCTTCTTCGCCGTGATCAGGCGCTTCGGCGTCGCGGACTGGAGCGCCGTCCGCACGTCCTCGAGCGACGCGTCCAGGCTCAGCAGCGCGCGCGTGTTGCGGCCGAGCTTGACGCGCGGCGGGTTCCGCTGGAGGCGGACCGTCGGCGCGCCGCGCCTCGCGCGGTCCACGAAGGCCGCCGTCGACAGCGCGCGCGTCGTCTCGCGCGCGGCGCGGTTCCGGTCGTCGCGGCGCTGCGTCGTCGTCGGGTCGATGGCCCGCGCGTCGAGCTCGAGCTCGAGGGCCTCCGTGACGTCCGACGGCGTGCCCGGCCGCCAGACGCCCGACGACCGGTCGCGGATGAGCGCCAGCAGCGCGAGGAACTGGGGCCAGCCCACGAGGCAGGCCAGCGGGCCCCGGCCGACGGGGTCCTGGGACCGCGAGTCGCCGTCGGCCGCCGCGGGCTCCGCCGCGGCCGCGCCCGGCGGCGCCGCGGCGGCGACCTCGTCGCCGTCGGCCGACGGCGGCAGCGGGATGGTGGGCGCCTTGTCGTGCTGCTCCGCCTCGTCGAGGCGCGCGAGCTTGTAGAGCTCCGTCGCGACCGCGAAGCAAGACCTGGGCAGCAAAAGGGTGATTCAACGTCGCTTCAACGTGAGTGTTCCGCGCGCGCGCGTTCTGGAAAAAGCATCCACGCTTCGAGACCGTTCCGAGAGATGATCGCTCGTCCAAAAATCAGCCGAAACGAGTGGAAAATGGCCGAGATCGGAGCCTTTGAAGTTGGGAATTTCGCTCTCTTTTGCTGCCCTGAGCAAGACGACGCGTCGAGCACGTCCCACAAATTCGCGGCGCCCTTGTCGATGGCCTCCTGCTTCTTCGAGGACGCGGCCGTGAAGAGCGACGCGGCGGCGCGGCGCAGGCCCGCGTAGATGTGGGACACGTCCATGGCGATGGCCTCGATGGCCCGGCGCGTCATCTCCGACTGCGGCAGCGCGACCGCCGTCGACGCGAAGGGGTCGCCCGCGTCGCCGTCGCCCGGCGCGTCGCCGTCGCCGTCGTCGAGGACCTCGACGGCGGGCGCCTCGCCGAGCTCCCGCTCCTCGGGCCGCGGCGAGCACGACGCGAAGAGGTCGCGCGCCGTCCGGAGCTGGGGACCGCTGAACGAGCCCGCGACGTCGCGGTGGCGCGCGGCCTCGGCGTCGTAGCGGTCGTAGCGCAGGAGCGTCTTCCAGTAGAGCTGGTCCACCTCGAAGGCGTCGAAGTCCGCCGCGGACCGGCCGCGCCGGAGCTGCGCGGAGATGCCCGGCGCGAGCCGCCGCGACTCCTTCTCGCGCGAGAGCTCGAGCGCGGACGGCTGCACGGGCTTGATGGCGACCTCCCGCGTCGCGTCCCAGAAGAAGGCCGTCTTGTGCTTGACGGGCGACGGCAGCGGCACGATGCGGCCCCTGCCGCGCCGCGCCGGGTCCAGGTCCAGCCCGGGCGTGCCGGGGCCCGACCGCGCCGTGAGCGGCGTCCGCGCGCCGTTCGGCGTGCCACCGGGCGCGCCGTCGTCGGCGGACGCGGCGTCGCGCGGCGCCCCGGCGGTCGCGTGGGCGCCGTCGTGCTTGCGGCCCGCGCGCGACACCGTGACCTGCGCGAGCTGGAGCGCGCGCGTGCCTTTGACCTGCACGCGGACCGCGGACGCGCGCGCGCCGGCGTCCGGGAAGGTCCAGACGATCGCGGCGTCGTCGCCGTCCATCTTCTCCACGAACTTCTCCAGCTTCGCCCGCTTCCGCGCCTCGTGGAGCCGCACGGGGCCCAGGGGGCCGTCGCCGAGGAGGAACACGTAGACGGGCGCGGGACCGTAGGGCCGCCCGTCGGGCTCGGCCTTGCGGAAGGGCGCGACCCGGACCTCGACGACGGGCACGGACCCGCCCAGGTCGACCTCCCACCAGGCCTCGTACTCGCGCCGCGTGCAGGACGCCGCGTCCGCGCCCGCCGCGTCCGCGCCGTCGACGGCGAGGTCGGGCCCGCGGCCGTCGACGGTCGTCGACTGCCACGCGGGCTTCTTGAGGGCCACGTTGTTCAGCGCGACGGCCTCGTCGGCCTCGACGTTCGTCTCGATCAAGGCGTTGAGCTTCGTCTCGCTCGAGATCATGGCCTCGAGCGCGGTCCGCGCGTCCATGGCCCCGTGCAGCCGGCGGTCGCGCTCGCGCGCCTCGCGCGCGAGCTGGTCGTCCTGCGTGCCCAGCAGCTGCGTGCAGAAGACGCAGAGCTTGGCCTCCTGGTAGAGGAAGGACGCCGTCTCGAAGCGGCGGCCGACGACGCGCGCGCCCCGCAGGCTCCGGAACGCGGACACGTGCTTGTTGCACGTCGTGCCCTTGACGGAGTCGCTCTTGAAGTAGAGCGTGCAGAGGGCGCACTTCGTCTTGCCGACGCTGCTGTACATGTAGGCGTCGACCGTGACGCGGTTCTCGCCCCCGAAGAGCGCCTCGGAGCCCGCGTTCGCGAGCACGGGCGCCTCCATGACGACCTCGCGGCCGCCGACGACGACGCTCTGCCAGGGGTTCGCGGCGACGCGGCTCCGCATGTCCCCGGACGGCGGCGGGGGCGCCGCCGTCACCACGGCGTCGGAGTCGTCGCTCGACGTGTCCAGCTCGAAGCTGTCGTCGTCGTCGACGTCGCGGCCGCTTTGCGACCGGCCGCGGCCCCGGCGGCCGCGGCCGCGGCCGCGGCCCCGGCCGGCGCCGCTCTTCCGCTCGAGCTTCAGCTTCTTCTCGAGGCCCTTGTCCAGCTCCTTGTTCAGCGCCTGCGTCAGCACCGTGTCCCGCCGCGCCGCGCGCGTCGCCGGCTCCGTGAGCTCGATGCCGTAGCGCCACTGCGTCGACTCCTCGCCCGACATGCCCGCGGCGCTGTACGTCGTCGACAGGTTCTTCAGCTCCGCCATCGAGTGCCGCCCCTTGTTCAGCGTCGCGCGGCCCTCGCGGCGGCCGCGCCCGATGCTGCCGTCGGCCATGCCGCCGGCGGGGGCTGGGCTTTAGCGCGCTGTCTCGGGTGAAGCATCTATTCAAGGTGAAAGGTGAAGTAGGGGTCGAGCATCAAGTTTTGCGAAGCGATGACCTGTCCTCACTCCTTGCCGGCGGCTGGTGCAATGACAAGCGCACGCGAGTGCTCCTAGCCCTACGACGCGTCGCTCGAGGACGTGAAGCCGTCGATGGCGGCAGCGCCGGACGACGTCGACGAGCGCGTCCTTGAAGGCCTGGACCTCGCCGTCGTCGCGCTGCCCGCGGCGGACGCGCCGCCGGCGCAGATGAGCCGCCGCTGCGCGCTGGGCCTCATCGCCTTGAGCAGCTTCGGCTTCGCCGTGCAGTCGCTCGTCGTCAAGGTGGCGACGCGCGGCCGCTTCGCGCCGATGGAGGTCGTCTTCTTCCGCGGCTGGCTCCAGGCCCTCGGCTGCTGCGGCGCGCTGGCGTGCCACGGCCCCGTCGCGCGGCCGCCGGCGCGCTGGTTCGGCGACACGCGCACGGAGGTGAAGTGGCTCTGCGCGCGGGGCTTCGTCGGCTTCGGCGGCATCTGCTTCAGCTTCAAGGCCGTGTCGATGATCGGCCTCGCGGAGTCGCAGGTCGTGGGCACCGTGTCGCCCGTCTTCGCGGCGGCCTACGCGCGCCTCTTCCTCGGCGAGCCCTGGCTCGCGCTCGAGAAGCTCGCGGCCGTCGTGAGCTTCGCGGGCGTGGCGCTCCAGTTCGGCCCGGAGTCGCTCGGCGCGCGCGGCGACGACCGGCGCCACGCGCTCGGGCTGGCCTACTCGCTCCTCGGCGCGGCGTCGGCCGCGGGCGCGCACGTGCTCGTGCGCCTGCTCGGGACGCGCATCAAGGTCGACTGGCCCATCCTGATGCTCTATCAGGCCATGGGCCAGATCTTGCTCTCCGGCGTCGCGCTCGTCGGCTTCGGCGAGCGGCCGCGCCTCGACCCGTCGCCGCTGCAGCTCGCCTACCTCGGCGCCTGCGGCTTCCTGGGCTTCTTCAGCCAGGTCTGCATGACGCGGGGCATGCAGCGCGAGAAGTCGGCGTCCGCGTCGATCATGCGCCTGTCGGGCCTCCCGTGGTCGTTCCTGTTCCAGGCCCTCGCGACGGCGGACGCCGTCGAGCCCCGCACCGTCGCCGGGGGGCTCATCGTGCTCGTGGCCATGGGCATCGTGGTCTACGCGGCGCGCCGCAAGGCGCCGGCGGCGGCCGCGAAGCCCGTCGCCGAGTACGCGCCGGTGGAGGACAAGGACGGCGTCGAGCTCGCGGGGACCTTCGCCATCGCGGACGACGACGACGACGACGACGGCGACGACGCCGCGCACCCGGGCGACGTCGAGGACGACGACCGGGGGGCGCTGGTCTAATTTTGAACAGTGGGCTTTTTAGATTCATTGAAAAAACAACAAAGCAACTCATTGGGACATACATGCTCAGGCAGAGAAAGAGGTGCATGTTGAACTTCCGGCGGCCGACATTGAAGATTGCAGTCTGCGTATGGAGGCTTGAGTCGAACAGCACTCCGGCTCAGCGCTACACCACTCCGTTGCGCCACCACTCCATCAGATGCGCGGTTGCATGGCCTTCGCTCTCGTCGCCGCGGCCGCCCGCGGCTTCGCGCTGCGCGGCCCCGGCGCGCGCGCCCCGCTGCGGCGCCTCGCGGCGGCGACGGCGGCGGCCGACGCGGGCGTCGCGGCGCAGGTCGAGGCGCAGGGGGCGCTGATCCGGGACCTGAAGGAGGGCCGGGGCCTCGGGAACAAGAGCCCCGAGGTCGTCGCGGCCGTCGCGGAGCTCGTGCGGCTCAAGGCGCTGCTCGAGCCGCCGGCGGCCGCGGCGGACGCGCCGCAAAAGAAGCAGAAGCAGCAGAAGAAGAAGCAGAAGGTGGACAAGGGCGCGGCGACGACGGCGTCCGACTCCATCACGTCCGCGTCCGAGGACTTTAGCGCCTGGTACGCGGACGTCATCCGCGGCGCGGACCTCGTCGACGCGTCCCCCGTGAAGGGGTGCATGGTCATCAAGCCCTGGGGCATGGCCGTCTGGGACCGCCTGCGGGACGAGCTCGACGGGCGCATCAAGGCCAGCGGCGCGGAGAACGCCTACTTCCCGCTGCTCATCCCCCGGAGCTTCCTCGCGAAGGAGGCGGAGCACTGTGTGGAAATCAAATCTTCAACCCGACTTCAATGTGAGCGTATTCGAATGTTTTGTCACGAGCACTTCCGCCGTGCTTCGAGAACTCGCTGAGAGCGATCGATTCGTCCAAAATCAGCCGAATCGACTTCGATTTGACCGAGCTAGAGATTTCTGAAGTTTGGCCCCGACGTCCCAGCTCACTGGTTGATTTCCACGCAGGCGGAGCACGTCGAGGGCTTCGCCAAGGAGTGCGCCGTCGTCACGCACCACCGCCTCGCCGCGGACGGCAAGGGCGGCCTCGAGCCCGACCCGGCGGCGGAGCTCGACGAGCCCCTGATCATCCGGCCGACGAGCGAGACCATGATCTGGCACATGTTCGGCAAGTGGATCAACAGCCACCGCGACCTGCCGCTGAAGATCAACCAGTGGGCGAACGTCGTCCGCTGGGAGATGCGCACGCGGCCCTTCCTCCGGTCGTCCGAGTTCCTCTGGCAGGAGGGCCACACGGCCCACGCGACGCGCGACGAGGCGTTGGCCACGGCCGAGGAGATGCTCGACGTCTACGCGGAAGTGGTGGAACATTTCCTCGCCGTGCCCGTCGTCAGGGGCGCCAAGTCGGCCATCGAGCGCTTCGCCGGCGCCGACGAGACCTACACCATCGAGGCCTTGATGCCCAACGGCTGGGCGCTCCAGAGCGGCACGTCGCACTTCCTCGGGCAAAACTTCGCGCGCGCCTTCGACGTCCAGTTCCAGAACAAGGACGCGAAGCGCGAGCTCGTCTGGGCCACGTCCTGGGGCGTGTCGACGCGGCTGCTGGGCGCGCTCGTCATGACCCACTCCGACGACGCGGGCCTCGTGCTGCCGCCCCGGGTCGCGCCCGTCCAGGTCGCCGTCGTGCCGATCACGCGGAAGAACGACGACGCGGGCACGGAGGCCGTCGACGCCCTGGTCGACGGCCTCGTCGCCGAGTGCAAGGCGCTGGGCGTGCGCGTCAAGGTCGACGAGCGGCCGAACATGCGGCCGGGGGCCAAGTTCTTCGAGTGGGAGCGCAAGGGCGTGCCGCTCCGCGTCGAGGTCGGCCCCCGCGACGCGGCGGAGGGCGTCGTCGTCGTCGCGAGCCGCCTCGGCGGCGAGAAGCGGTCCGTCGCCGCCGCCGACGCGGCCGCGGACCTCGCGGCGTCCCTCGAGGACATCCAGGCCCGGCTCTTCGCGGCGGCGGCCGCGCGCCTCGACGGCGGCACCGTCGACGTCGGCTCCTACGACGAGCTCAAGGCGAAGATCGACGCCGACGACCTCGGCTTCTTCCGGGTCTACTGGGCCGCCGACGACGCCAACGAGAAGGCCATCAAGGAGGACTGCTCCGCGACGATCCGCTGCTACCCGCTCGACGCGCAGCGCGACCTCGCGGGGAAGGCGTGCTTCTACTCCGGGAAGCCCGCGACGCACGTCGCCCTCTTCGCGCGCGCGTTCTAGGCGCCCTAAGGCGTCGTCCACACACACGTTTTTTTAGCTCTTCCACGTCGCCGCGAGCGCGCGGTACTCGTCGAACGCGGTCGCGTCCGCGAGCGCGCCGACGTTCTTGGGCTCCGTGCCCGCGATGAGGTCGCGCACGGCGACCTCGACCTTCTTGCCGCTCTTCGTGTAGGGGATCTTGTCCACGGCGACGAGCAGCGCGGGCACGTGCGCGTCCGACGCGCCCGCGCGGATGAAGGCCTTGACGTCCCTCTCGAGCGCCGCGTCGAGGACGTAGCCGTCCGCGAGCTTGACGAAGAGCACGATGCGCACGTCGCCCGCGCGCTTGCCCGTCTTGAGCTGGTCGCCGATGACGAGCGAGTCGTCGACGGCGGGGTGCTCCTCGGCGAAGCGGTAGACCTCGGCCGTGCCGATGCGCACGCCGCCGGGCTTGAGCGTCGTGTCGGAGCGGCCGTGGATGACGACGCCGCCGGCGGCGCCGACAGACCCCGTCGTCTCCACGAGGTCGCCGTGGTACCAGACGCCGTCGTCGTCGTCGAAGTACGCGTCGCGGTACTTCGTCTTCGCTTCGTCGTCGCCGAAGAACTTGACGGGCGCCGCCACGAAGGGCGACAGGCACGCGAGCTCCGCCTTCTCGCCCACGACCCTGGCGCCGTTTTCGCGGTCGAAGGCGCAGGCGTCGAGGCCCAGCCCGAAGGCCTGGAGCTCGCCCTCGACGACGGGAAGCGTCGGGTTTCCTAAAGCGAAGCAGGAGCAGATGTCCGTGCCGCCGGAGATGGACGCGAGCATGACGTCGTCTTTCACCTTGTCGTAGACGTAGCGGAAATCCTCGTTCATCAACGGGGACCCGGTGGAGAAGACGACCCGCAGGTCGTCGAGGTCGTGCGACTCCTTCGGCGCCACGCGCGTGCGGCAGGCCTGGAAGTAGCGCGGCGACGTGCCGAGGTGCGTGACCTTCTCCGCCTCGACGAGGTCCCAGGGCGCCTGGAGCTTCGGGTAGGCCGCGAAGCCGTCGAAGCACACGATCGCCGCGCCCGCGAAGAGCGAGCTCGCCATCCAGTTCCACATCATCCAGCCGCAGGTCGTGTAGAAGAGCATCTTGTCGCCCTCCTTGAGGTCGCTGTGGAGGATGAGCTCCTTGGCGTGCTGGAGCAGCGCGTTGCCGCAGCCGTGCGCGATGGACTTGGGCAGGCCCGTCGTGCCCGAGCTGTAGAGCACGAGCTGCGGGTGGGCGAAGGGCACGCGGTCGTAGGTCGGCGCCGGGTCGCCGGAGGCGAGGAAGTCGTCCCAGGACTCGACGAGGCCCGCGACTTTGTCGGACGCGGCCCAGGCGCCGGCGTCCGCCGCGCCGCCGGCGACGTCGAAGACGACGATCTTCTCGAGGGACGGCAGGTTCTCGGCGAGCTCCGCGACCTTGGCCGCGTGGCACGTCCTCTTGCCCGCGGACACGAAGCCGTCGCAGACGAACAAGGCCTTCGGCGCGACCTGCCCGAACCGATCCGCGACGGCGCGCGCGCCGAAGTCGGGAGAGCACGACGTCCACGTCGCGCCCGTCGCCGTCGCGCCGAGCATGGCCACGACGCTCTCGCCGACGTTGGACGCGTAGAGCCCGACGGCGTCGTCGGCGCCGACGCCCAGGGCCCGCAGCGCGGACGCGACGCGCGCCGCGTCCGCGGCGGCCTCGCCGAACGTCCATCGCTTCGCGTCGCGCGCCTCGCTGATGGACACGATGGCCTCGGCGTCTTCCAGCGCGGCGCCGGCGTTGCCGTGGCGCAGCAGGTTCTCCGCGAAGTTGAGCCGGCAGTTGGGAAAGTACTCGACGTCCGGCATGTTTTCGCCGACGCGCGCGGGCTCGAGCGACCCCTCGCGCTCGACGCCCACAAAGTCCATGAGCTCGGTCCAGAACGCGTCGCCGTTGGCGACGCTCCAGGACCAGAGCTCCTCGTAGCCGCCGTCGACGCCGACGGCGCGCTGGAACGCCTTCATGGCGCTCGCCTCGACCGTCGCGGCCGTCGGCGTCCAGAGCGTCTCCCGCGCGGGCGTCGCGACGGAGCGCAGAGCCACGTGCGGTCGTCGCGCGTGCGGGACGGTGAACGCAGTCGTCGCGGCGGCGAGCGCCGCGAGGATGGCGCACGACTGCGGCAGCATGGCTCTGATCATACGTCGAGCCAAGCCTCTCAGATCTGCAGAGTCTGGGCCCCTGCTCCAGGGACGATCCCGCTCCCTCCGAGGAGTCTCCCCGAGGTCCGGTGCGGCTTTAGGGGCCCCCCGGTGCCCCGCCAGCCCAAGGCTGCGCGTAGGCGGGCTAGGTCGCCTAATGCGCTAGAGAGAGAGAGTTCAAGAAAGCAGAAGCGGCGCCGATCGCGACCCTGCGCGTCGCGCGCACGCGTCGCGCGCGGCGTCGCACGCTGTCGGCGCCGAATCTCTCCCGCGTCGCTGCAATGCGCAGACTTTGCAACCGGGCATGCCGATCCGGTCTTGCGCGCACGTGATCGTAGACAGGGACAGCAATTACTGAGATGATCGTGCGTTCGAAGCGGGGACACAGGGGAATGGTGCGAGCTAGGGCATCGCGAACTCGTCGAGCCACTCGACCTGGCACGGCTCGTCGACGCAGGGCACGGGGAGGCCCGCGGCCTCCCAGGGGAGCTCCATGCCGTCAAGGGGCTCGAGGTCGTCGAACCAGATGGCCTTGGGGTCGTACTTGGCGAAGAAGGGCGTGCAGGACATGGACGGCCCGCGCGCCGTGCGGCAGAGGCCCGACGTCGCGCGGATGGCGTCGGCGTAGAGCCGCTGGGCGCGGACGAGGGGCACGTCGAAGTAGGACTGCGCGCCCGTGTCGCGGGCGATGAACATGTAGTAGGGGATGACGCCGAGGCGCACCTCCTCGCGCCACTTGGCGGCCCAGACGTCCGCGTCGTCGTTGATGCCGCGCATGACCGGCGACTGGGAGCGGATGATGACGCCGCCCTCCTGCTTGAGGCGATGGATGGCGTGCTTCACCTTGTCCGTGGACAGCTCGCGGACGTGGCCGAGGTGCGCCATGATGGCCATGTGGCGGCCGCCGATCTCCTTCACTTCCCGGAGGAGCGTCATGAGCTCGTCCGCGTCCGCGTCCGTCGTGAAGCGCTGGGGCCAGAAGGTCAAAGCCCGGGTGCCGATCCGTAGATTCTTGATGTGGGGCAGGTGCGTGGGATCCTTGAAGGGCTCGAGGTACTGCTTGAGCATGCGCGTCTGCATGATCATCGGGTCGCCGCCCGTGAACAGGATGTCGGACACCTCGGGGTGCTCCTCGAGGTAATCGAAGAGGGAGTCGGCGTCCTTCTGCGCGAAGCGGAGGTCCGGGTCGCCGATGAACTGGGCCCAGCGGAAGCAGTAAGTGCAGTACGCGTGGCACGTCTGCGCGGCCGCCGCGAAGAAGAGCACGGTCTCGGCGTACTTGTGCTGCACGCCCGTGAGCTCCGCCTTCTTCGGCGCGTTGAGCGCCTTCTGGCCCGCGGGGTGCGGGTTCAGCGACTCGCGGATTTCCTCGACGGCCTCCTTGATCGCCGCGGGGTCGCCCGCGTCGCAGACGCCGTCGAGCAACTCCCGGTGCTCATCGCTGAGCATGTCCATGGTCGGGAAGACGAGCTTGTAGAAGGGGTCCGTCCTGATGTCCGCCTCCATGTCCCAGTCGATGAGCTCGTCGACGAGGTACGGCGACGCCTTGAACGGGAAGATGAGCGCGGCCCGCTTGACGTCCTGCATGTTCTCCTGGAGCCGCGGGTACTTCTCGCCCCACTGGTCGATGGCCGCGAGCGAGATCGCGCGGAACCGCTCCGTCTTGGGCGTCTCGCCCTCGTTCGCCGCGTACTCGCCCTCCGCGGTCACCGCGATGGGCTCCTGGTTCACCTCGACGGACGAGAAGAGCGCCGACCGCGAGGGAGACGCGGGGCGCCGCACGGGCGACAGCTGGAGGGCGGAAGCGCCGAGCGCGAGCGCGACGAGAGCCAATTTCGAGGCCATGATCGCCTGCGAGCGCTGATGTCACTCTCCTGCTTCTGGCGCGCGCGCATTCTTGCGTTGCTCTCTCGCGGGGTGAGCGCGGTCGCGCGCGCGAAGTTTCGTCGCCGAGGTTGCGATTCTGGCGCTGCTAACTGCGGGTTTTCGAGCGCAAGAAGAGGTCTACGTCCGATCCAGCATCTATCCAGCCGCTCGATTCTGCGACAACCACAAAGTCACAAAGCCATCGTGCCGCTAAGGTGGTCAGCAGGTGGTCAGCTTGCCGTCACAACACGCACGGCGAGAGAGCTGCGTCTCGCGTGTGGGCGAAAGGCGGGGGCGAAGAGCCGCGTGGTTTGAAGAAGAGAACGCCAAATGTCCGTTCGAACCGCGCCCCGCGTCCGCAGTCTACGACCGCGTTCTATGCACATATTCACGCGAGGTCGAGCTCGCCCTTGTTCGCCATGGAGACGAGGTCCGCGAGCTCCGCGTCGGAGAGGGACGCGGCGTCGTGGGTCCAGGGCGCGCGCTTGTTGACGCCGGCCGGGCGGAGGGGGTCGTCGACCTCGAACGCGTTCATCGTCAGCGCGACGTAGCCGTGGTAGCCGACGACGGACGTGAGCTCGACCAAGCCCGTCGCGCCCAGCGCGGCCTCGGCCGCCGCGTAGGCGTCGTCGCCGAGCCGCTTCGACGCGAGGAGGTCGGCCGTCGCGTCGTGGATGGCCGCCTCCCGCGAGCCGGGCGCGAACGCGGGCCGCGCGCCGCGCGCGAGCGCCGCGACGTGCGCGCCCTCGAGGCCCGCGGCGCGCGCCTCGCCGACGTGGATCGTCCAGAGGCCCGGCGCCTTGTAGGCGTAGGCCGTCGCGAGGATGGCGATCTCCGCCTCGCGCTGGTTGAGCGACGTCTCGTAGCGGCAGACGCGGCCGAAGTTCTGCGCCGCGTCCGCGAGCGGCGGCGACGCGAGCCACGGCCCAAAGGGGCCCCGGTCCGCGCCCGTCGTCCGCGTGCGCCGGATCTCGTCGTAGACGACGCGCTGGTCCGGCGCCATGGTCTCCGGGTCCGGCCCCTGGAAGCGGCGCGCGGACGGCGGGGGGCCCTCGTACGCCGACGGCAGGAGCCGCGCCTTCGCCCAGCCCATGTCGCGCGCGGTCTCGAGCGCGGCCTCGGCGACGTCGGCCACGGCCGCCGCCAGGAGCTCCGGCTCGTCGTCGTAGCGCGGCGTGAGCATGAAGCCGCCCACGGGCACGAAGTAGGGCAGCACGGAACGCGCCGCGCACTTCTTCTTGAACGCGAGGTTCGCGGCCGTCCGCGCGGCGGCGTCCTCGTGGGCGAAGAGGCCGCCCCAGAGGGCGCCCTGGCCGTGGGCGAGGACGGCGCCGTCGGACCGGTCCGCCAGGTCCGCCATGATGGGGCCCACGGCGTCGTGGACGTCCCGCACGTTGCCCGCGAGCTCCGGCAGCCGCTCGAGCAGGTTCGCGCCGTTCGCGAGCGCGCGCGCCGACGAGCCCGCGTAGGTGTGGCTCTGGAAGGCCGTGCGCGACGCCTCCCGGAAGTCCGCCGCGCCCTCCAGCAGGATCGCGCCGGAGAGCAGGTTGCCCGCGCCGCCGCCGATGGCCTTGCCGAACGTGACGACGTCGACGTCCAAATCCCAGCACTCCGTGAGGAAGCAGGCGCCCTGGCCGTGGCGGCCGATGCCGCACATGATCTCGTCGGCGACGACGGGGATGCCCCGGCTCCTGGCCTCCGCGCAGTACGCTTTCAGCAACTCGGCCGGCCACGGCATCGCGGCGACGGACGACCCCCACTGGGGCTCCACCAACAACACGCCGATCTCGTCGGCGTAGGTGTCCAGGTAGGTCGTGAAGTCGGCGAAGAGGCGCGCGTGGAACGCCTCGTCCTCCTCGCCGCGGCGCCGCAGGAACGGCGACGGCACGGGGTAGCGCACGGGATGCGTGAGCCCCTTGGCGACGGCCCCCAGCGGCGTGCCGCCGCCGGGCGACGTCGACGCCGGGCCGTGGTAGGACGACGCGCCGCAGGCGACGCGGTTCCTCGCGCCGGGCCGGTTCAGGTCCGCGGACGACTGGCTCACCTGGAGCGCCATGTCCACCGCCGCGTGGACCGCGGACGCGCCCTCGGCCTGCAGATTCACGCACCAGTCGCCCTTGGCTCGCGCCGCCGGCGGCAGGTGGGGCTCCCAGGCGTCGAGGAAGCGCGCCAGCTGCGGCGGCACGCCCGCGGACGTGTGCACGCTCAGCGCCTCCGCCGGTTCGCCGGCCTCGAGCGCGGCCATCGCGCGCCGCTCGACCTCGAAGCCGTCGCGCAGCAGGCTCGCGAGGTTCGCGCCGCCGAGCACCTCGCTCGACGCGCCGCCGACGACGCGCACGTCCCCGCCGACGTCCTCACGATCGAAGCGCATGCCGGCCTTGGCGTTGACGGGCCCCAAGTTCTTGCCCAAAGCGTAGCGGCCCGCGAAGCGGTCCGTTTTCGCCGACATGGCCGCCGCCGCCGCGGCGCCGAGCGCCGCGAGGACGTAGCGCATGACCTGTGCGGCTGGCGCGTCGGGTGCGAGGCTGCGAGCCGACGAAGAGGACTCGAGATCTTGACCTTCTATAAGGAGACAAGAAAGAGCCAGTGGCAAAATCAAGCCCGGCAGGCATGGGCGCGCGGCCACGCCTCCGCGTAGGAGGACTCGGCAGCACTACTCAGCTTCGTGCATCAGGGGGCGGGGAGGCGTCGCCTCGCGGTTCGCGAGCTGATCATCGGGGCGCGGCCTCAGCCGCCCGGCGGTTTTTGGATTGCTTCAAGAAGACTGCGCGGCTTGAAAAACGAGGCAGATCTGCCGCGAAGCAGCCGAACCGGACGGCGCTTGGCGCCGCTTGTTCTCGATGGTGCCACGGCTTCTGGCGCTCGTTCTGGCAGTCGCTGGCGGCTTCCAGCCCCAGCCGCTGCGACGACAACGACTGCAACTGTCCGCGGGCGGCATGCGACCGCCGCGGGAGAAGGGAGCGCTCGGCAAGCGGAGAGCGCGCGAGCGGCTCGAGAAGAAGATGAGAGAGCAAGGCCTGGAGCCGCCCGCGCCGCAGCAGCGCGTCTCGACGCGGACCGTCGCGCCGCCAGCGCCCGCCGGCGCGCCGGCGCCGCGCGCGCCGCCGGCCGCCGCCGCGCCCGCGGCCGGCGCCGCGCCGCCGGCGCCGCCGCTCCTCGAGGGCGCGCCGATTAGCATGCCCGAGCGCTGGCGCAAGGTGCCCGTCTGCGATCGGCCGAACCGCTGGCGCGAGGGCGTGAGCCAGGAGGAGTGCGACGCGGCCGAGGACGGCCGCCCCGCGCCGACGAGGAAGCGGGCGGCGGCGTCGATGGTCCCCGGCGAACTCAGCCCGTCGGATCTCGGCACGACGCCGGCGCCGCCGCCGTCGACGAACTACAAGGATGTCGTGCCGCAGCTCATCTCGCTCCAGGACTTCATCGAGGCCAACCAGATCAGCGACGTCCGCCGACGCCTCGTCGTCGTCAAGTACTACAGCCCGCAGTGCAAGGCGTGCCTCAAGATCGCCGCCAAGTACCGGCGCCTCGCGCTGGACCTCGCGGACGACGTCGACTGCTTCGAGGTCGACACCGTCGCGTCCCGGCCCCTCGTGAAGTTCATGAACGTTACGAAGGTGCCGTCGATCCAGATCTTCGACCCGGCGGGCATCGTCCGGCTCGGCGACTCGCCGTGCATGCCCCAGGACTTTGATCGCGTGCGCCACAAGATCGACGTCGCGCGCACGAGCATCAAGCGGCGACGCAAGATCCACGCCTGGGTCGGCACGTCCTACGGCGACGAGCTCGCGCGCATCAACGACGAACGGCGCGACGTCCCCCGCGGGAGCCGCACGTGAAGCGTCTGTATGTTGCACCGCCCTGTGTCTGTTTAGTTTGTATAGTCTGTGACCCACTTCGAGATGCTGGCGCTTGGCGCCTCGTGCGCGCGGATCGGCGCGCCGAGACGGGCGGCGCCGCTTAGATGCGCTGCTTGAAAAAGCGTCGGAAGCGGCACGCCCGGGGTCGCCGGGGAGGCCCCGGAAGCCGGCGTCGCCAGGGGCGCTCGACAAGGTGAAGCCCGTGTTGAGGTAATGCGCTCGGAGTTGAGGCTCAACTTTAGCTCGCGAGCCGTGGCACAATCGTGCGTGCAACCACACCGATGCGATCGGCGGCTATGCAAGCGCTGCTCGCAGCGCTCATCTGCGCCGCGGCGCAGGCCCTGCGCGGGCCCGCCGCGCCCGTACGCGCGCCCCACGTCCTGCGCGCGACCCGGTCCGCCCTCGGCGTGGCCGTCAGCGGCTCCGGCTCGGCCAGGCCGACGGCGCGGCTGAGCAACGACGACCTGGCGACGTTCATGGACACGACGGACGAGTGGATCTCGCAGCGCACGGGCATCCGGGCGCGGCGCGTCCTGTCGCCGGACGAGTCCCTCGCGCAGCTGAGCGCGGACGCGGGGACGAAAGCGCTCGAGTCCGCGGGCGTCGACCCGGAGGACGTCGGCCTCGTGATCCTCGCGACGTCCAGCCCCGACGACCTCTTCGGCGACGCGACGGCCGTCGCCAAGGCCTGCGGCTGCGCGAACGCCGTCGCCTTCGACCTCACGGCGGCCTGCAGCGGCTTCCTCTTCTCGCTCGTGACCGCGGCGCAATTCGTCGAGAGCGGCGCGTACGACAAGGTGCTCGTCGTCGGCTCCGACGCGTTGAGCCGCTGGGTCGACTGGGAGGACCGGGGCGTTTGCATCCTCTTCGGCGACGGCGCCGGCGCCGTCGTCGTCGAGGGCGCGGCGGAGGGCGCGGCCTCCGGCCTGCTCGGCTGGGCGATGCACAGCGACGGCAAGGGACGCTGCGACCTCTCCTGCGAGGGCACGCGGAGCGCGCGGCCCCTCGCGGAGACGGGCATCGTCGTCGCCGAGGAGAGCGCCTACGGGCCCATCGCCATGAACGGGAACAAGGTCTACGTGTTCGCGACGAAGCGCGTCCCCGAGGTCATCCTCGAGGCCTTGGACCACGCGGGCCTCGGCGTCGACGACGTCGACTGGCTCCTGCTCCACCAGGCGAACGTGCGCATCATGGAGGCCGCCGCCAAGCGCCTGGGCATCCCCATGGACAAGGTCCTCGTGAGCCTCGACGAGTGCGGCAACACGTCCGCGGGCTCCATCCCCATCGCGCTCGACGACGCCATCGGCCAGGGCAAGGTCCAGCAGGGCGACGTCGTCGCCTGCGCGGGCTTCGGCGCGGGCCTCTCCTGGGGCGCCGCCATCTTCAAGTGGGCCGGGCCCCAGGCCCACTAGGGTGGTCAGTGTCGGTATAAGAGTATCCTTGCGGCCCTGCCTACCTCCCGGAGAGCAGGTTCACGGAGTTGTCGAGGCCGCTGCGCGCGGGCGGCGTCCAGGTCCCCGCGGCGCGGAAGATGCCCGCCTGGAGCTGGCTCCGCCGCGGCTCCGCCGCGGGCGCGGCCGCGGCCTTGGGCGCGGCCCCTCCGAGCAGCGCGAGCAGGTTCGCGGAGATGCCGCTCGTCGCGGCGATGCCGCCGCCGCCGTCGTCGAAGTCGCCGTCGTCGGACCACGCCGACGCGTCGTCGTCGTCGTCGGAGAGCGACTTCGCGTCGTCGGAGAGCGACTTCGCGTCGTCGGAGAGCGACTTCGCGTCGTCGTCGCTCTTCGCCCCGGACCGCGAGTCGTCGTCGTCGCCGTCCTTGGCCTCGTCCTTCGCCTCGTCGAGCCAGCGCACGCTCTTCGCCTCGTCGGCGGCGGCCGGCGCGGCCTCGACGTCGCTGTCCGCCTCGTCCGCCTCGTCCTTGCTGTCCGCCTCGCGCGCCAGGCTCGCGTGCTCCTTCTCGAGGATGGAGCGGATGTCCTCGACGAAGCTGTCGTTCTCGGACTGGCGCCGCTTGCGCAGGACGACCTCGCAGTCGCTCGCGTCTTTGATGATCTCCTCGATGCTCTTGTCCAGGACCGGCATGGCGGCGGGCGACGGCGCGCAGCGGACGGGGCAGGTGAGGGCCGCCGACGTGGCTGCCCCGACAAAGACGGCCTCATCGATACAAAGTTGAAGGCGCAGCGCGACCTTCGGCATGTTGGTGAGAGCGCGGCGCGGGGCTGCTCCCCGAGCATAACTCGATGGCGGTGCTGGGCGACGTCGAGGCCGCCGCGCCGGGCGGCGGGTTCAAAGGCGGCAAGAAGGTCGCCGGCAAGCGCCCCGCGAGCGCCAGCGCCGCGCGCAAGAAGCCCCAATCGACGGCGACAAAACCCCAGACCGCGAGCCGGCCCCAGTCCGCCGGCGGCCGGGTCGAGCCCCAGACCGGGCCGCAGTTCGTCGCGCGCGACTACCCCGACCGCACCTACGGCCCCGCGGGCCGCAAACCCCGGAAGCCCGCGTGGGCCGCGGCGACCGGCGCGCTCCACGCGGACGCGCGGCCCACGGCCGACGCCGTCGGGCGCCTGCGGTCGCGCCTCGCCCACGGCCGGTCGAGCGCCTTCGCCGAGTGCGCGCGCTTCTTCGGGAGGAACGACGACGCCGAGGACCGCGCGTGGGCCCGGAGGGCCGTCGCGCTCGAGCTCCGGCAGAATCGCGAGCGGACCTCAGGGCAGGAAAAGGGTGATTCAACGTCGCTTCAACGTGAGCGTTCCGCGCGCGTTCCGGAACAAGCATCCCCGCTTCGAGAGCGCTCCGAGAGATGATCGCTCGTCCAAAAATCAGCCGAAACGAGTGGAAAACGGCCGAGAGAGGAGCCTTTCAAGTTGGAAATTTCGCACCCTTTTCCTGCCCAGGCGGACCTACCTCGAGGCCCTCGGCGGCAAGGTCGGCGGCAAGCCCGACGCGCGGCGCGGGCCCGAGCCCAAGCTCACCTACGTCCACGCCGGCCGCGAGCTCGACGTGCCGGGCCTGACCAAGGTGCCGCGCCTCGACGCGGAACGCGAGGGCGCGACGCGCGCGGAGCTCGCGCGGTCCCACGCCCTCGAGCGCGACGGCCTGCGGCGGCGCGTCGACGTCACGCGCTTGAAGGCGCGCACGGCCCGCGAGGAGGAGGAGCGGCGCCTCGCGCAGCAGGCCGCGATCTGCGCGGATCTCGTGTCGCACGCGGAGCACGCGCGGGACCGGCGGGCGAAGATCTTGGACGCGGCCGCGTCGCCGGGCCTGGCGTCGCGGGCGACGACGGTCGCCGAGGTCGCCCTCGCGCGCGCGTCGGGCGCGTGCGCGCGCCTCGCGGCCTACTCGCCCGGCGACGACGCGGCGCTGACCGCGAAGCTCCGCCGCCAGCGGCCGTCGTCCGCGCCGCCGCGCGCGTCGCCGAAGAAGCGCAGGGAGAAGCCGCCGCCGGCGAAGCGCATCATGCGGCGGCCGGGCACGATGAAGCCCGTCGACGACCGCTGCTCGTGCTGCCGCGGCTGGCTCCACGGCGGCGCGGTCGTCATCCCCGAGTTCGGCAAGGCCACGGGGTCGCGGCGGCGCGACTTCTGCTCCTACGAGTGCGCCAAGGAGTGGAACATCGTCTGCGGACCCGTGCTCCACCGCCACGTGCGGAACACGCTCATCGACCTCGAGGCCGGCCGCTGCGTCGAGGTCGCGCACCCGCCGCGCTACGTCGCGCCGGGCCCCCGCGCCTACGCCGCCAAGGGCTTCCGCCACACGTAATTTGGCGCTTTAATTGTCGTCGATGGAGGCGTCGGCGACGTCGTCGAGCTCGGAGTCCGCGGCGGCGGCGAATGGGCCTAGCCCTACAAACGATTTCGGAGGGCCGGGCGGGATTATCTTATGCTTGGGGTTGATTATGGTGTGTTGGCGAGCGACGCTAAAAGACGGTCCGACGGACATAATGACATTGGCAAAGTCTTGGCAAAGATGTCCTTCATCGCGGCCCGGCATTTCTCCGAGCCCTCGTCGGCCCCGCGCTGGAGCCAGCGCCGAGCTTCTTCGCGATCCACGGAGGGGACTCCCTCGCCTCTTAAATAGCAAACTGCGACGGAGTGATAGGACTCGTGATAACCCCGTTGCGCGCCAAGCATGAAATATTTGAAAGCGCTGGCATCACCAGCTTCAGACAACAAGAAGCCAAGAGTCTGCGCGGACCGCACGTGACCACGATCCGCAGCCATGCGAAAAAGCTGCATCGCCTTCTTCTTGTCCAGCTTTACTCCGGTTCCGTCTCCGGTGTCGTACATCTCCCCCAGACTGTACATCGCATCTACACAACCGTACTGCTCCACAGCCTTCTTGTAAAGCTTCGCGGCTTTCTTATCGGATTTCACTAGGCCGAAATGGCCGCCATGGTGGTACGCGTCTCCCAAAAACTTCACCATCTCCGGAACCTCGTTCTCAACGTGGCGCCGAACTTGCGCCAGTGCTTCCGTTGGCGCTAGGCATTCCGCGCGACAAAGAGGACACGGCTCGTATAGTCCAATCTTTTGAGCGCACGACTCGCACGTCAACCGACAGCAACAGATGCGCAAGACTGGCGACTTGTCATTCACGTCCCACTCCTCCATGCAGATCGGGCACCGCGACCCGAACCGCTCCGATATTGGGTCAGGCTCCGGGTTCTCCTCGCGCCGCGCGCGAGCGGCCTCGTGCTCCGCGGCGATGCGCGCGCGGACCTCGTCCGCGTGCGACCGCGGCGCGGGGCCGTAGACCGGGAGCGACGTTGGGGGCGTCGGCGCCTCGGCGCGCGCCGCCTCCGCCGCACGCTCGTTTCGGATCTTCTTGCACGCCTGCCGGTGCCCCCGGTCGCGCCAATCGATGCGTTGACAGTCTGTCGAACAGTACTGCGTCGTGCCGCACGGACAATTCAGCAAAGTCTTCGGTTTCGCTCCACAAATTGTGCAGGTGAGGCGGAGCCGGAACTCTTTCGCTCGGGCCTTCTTTCGCTCGTATTCTCGCTGCTTTTCCTGCCAGGTCGCCGCCTCCTTGGGCGCCTTCGCGGGCTGCGTCCCGGTCTGCGTGCCCAGGAGGAGCCGCGCGGCGCGGCCGCCGTCGTCCGCGGCGTCCGCGGACGCGCCGCGGCCCAGCAGCAGGCGGACCGCGTCGACGCGGCCGCGTGTCGCGGCTCGCCCGAGCGGCGTCTCGCCCCAGCCGTCGCGGCCGTCGACCGGCGCGCCGCCGTCGAGGAGCCGGCCGAGCGCGCCGACGTCGCCGACGTACGCCGCGCGGCACAGCTCGTCCCCGGCGCCGACGGGCACGATCTTCGCCGCCCCTTTGAGCTTGCCCTTGCCCAAGAATATGAAGGTGCAGTGGCCGACGGCGACGACGCGGCCGCCGCCGTCGCGGTACTCCCTCCGGCACTGCATTGGCACGACGCTGCAGTCGGCGCACGCGGCCGCGTGCGCCTTCGCGCCCGCGGCCCGGCACGTCTCGGAGCACCAGACGGCCACGCCGCACCGCTCGCAGACCTCCAGAGCGGGGTAGAAGACCTCGCGCGCACAGGCTTCGCAGTGGCCGTGCGCGATGAACCGTCCGGGGAAATTCTTCGCCGGAGGTTCGAACGCCACGGGACGTTGGGCGCCGGGGACGGACGTGAGCCGGATAAGCTCCATACTCGCCGCCTGCATATCCCGTGGGCCCGTGTAGCTCGCCGGCACCTCCAATCCTACATTGACGCTGATGGCACCGAGGACCTGCATGACCCACGGCCCGAAGCCGTTCAGATCTTCGGGGGAAACGTTCGTCAGGTTCTTGCGCGCCTTCCGGGCCTCCACGGTCTTCGCCGTCGCGTACTGCATCGTCGCGGCTTATTTAATATAAGCGTGCGCCGAGAGAGATCGGGCGCGGACTCTTGGCGATTCGCTGTGGCGAGACCCCTCCGACGCCTCCTCCGCACGCCGGCTCCGGAGTCCTGAGGAGGCGTCCGAGTCGATGGATTCCCCGAGACCACAGGCTGGGCAACGTTAATCCATCGTGAACTCCGCCGTCGCGTGCGTGATGACGAACTCGAGCGCGCGGGGCATGTCGACGGCCGGCCGGTCGTAGAGCGGCAGGTCGATGCGGTTGAAGCACGTGTGGCTCCGCGGGTAGGCCGCCGTCGCGAGGGGCAGGGACGTCAGCGTGAAGCAGCGCGACACGCCGTCGCGCTGCTGCAGGTTGCGGAAGCCGCCCACGGGCAGCCGCGACGACCCCGTCGCCCACTGGAGGAGCCGCGCGCGCTGCTCGTCGTCCCAGCGGTCGACGACCTTCCAGAACGCCGCGCAGACCGGGTGGTCCTGCTTGGCGGCCTCGAAGGCGCCCTTGTAGACCGTGTTCCGCCGCCAGTCGCTCAGGTCCAGCGACGGCGTGCCGCAGAGCGCGAGCTCGAGCTCGCGCGCCGTCAACAGCAGCGTCACGTGCGGCGGCACGAGCTCGTGGAAGCCCGCGAGGAGCGCCGTGAGCTCCTCCCGGTGCGCCTCGAAGACGCACTCGCGCAGGCGCAGCTCGAAGAAGCGCTCGAGGTTCGCCTTGGTCACCGCGACGTCGCCGCCGCCGTCGACGAGCTCGACGGTCTCGACCGTCGCCTCGTCGGGCGCCGAGTGCGACCGGTGGACCCGCGACACCTCGAAGGCGAGCGCCAACGCGTCGAAGTCCTCCTCGGGGATGCTCCGCAGCTTCTTCAGCGACATCCACAGCGCCTCGTCGACCAATTGCAGGTCGTCGAAGACCACCGGCTCGCCGACCTGTGCCGAAACCAACCACTGGTTTGGGGGGTCCCCACCAAACTTGAGAATTCTCTAGCTCGGTCAAATCAAAGTCGATTCGGCTGATTTTTGGACGAATCGATTGCTCTCGTCGAGTTCTCGAAGCATAGAAGAAGATCTCGCGTCGAAACCGTCGCATACGCTCACATTGAAGTCGGGTTGAAGATTTGATTTCCACACAGTCGCCGACGAGGAACTTGAGGATCTTCACGTTCGGCGACGCCTCGAGGCACGTGTGCCCGTCGAAGAGGCACTTGGCGAGGCAGCGGCCGACGAAGCGGTACTGGAGCAGCAGCGCGTCGCGGGCCGCGCCGCGCGCGGGGCCGCAGCCCGCGACGTCGTACGTCGTGTTGCCCGCGTCGGACCTGCGCGGCGCGATTCGACGCTTCGACATGGGTTTGCCGCGCGCGCGTTCCGTCAAAAAAGGCATGCACGCGTCGAGGGCGCTCCGAGCGACGCTCGCTCGTCCACACATGGGCCGACACGAGCGGCGCGCGGCCGAGGGAGGAGACGTCGCGCGCGTCCGCGGCGCCGACGTCGGACCGGCGGAAGAGGCCGAGGTCCTCGTCGAAGGCGCGCGAGAGGCAGAGGCGCCAGAAGTCGCGCGACAGCCCCCCCGCGTCGAGGCCGCCCTCGCCGTCGAACTTGAGGAACCACGACATGCGCCAGGCCTTGGGCGCGAGCTTCTTGAACGCCTTGAGGCAGCCGCCGTAGCAGTCGCCGCGCTTGACCTTGAGCTCGACGCGGCCCGTCGCGTAGGGCACGCGCGCCGCGTTGAGGTAGTCGCGCACGGCCTGGAGCCGCTGGCGGAAGGGCCACATGTCCGCGCGCTCGATCGCCGCGCGGAGCTCCGGAGATAGCGCCGCGCCGCCGGGGAGCTCGAAGCCGCGCGACGCGGCCTCGAGCGACAGGCACTCGCCGTCGCGCACGCCCAGGGCCGGCGGCCGCTTCGACTCCGCCGCGGGCAGCGTGAGCTGGCGCACGAGCGCGTGCGCGTAGCGGTCCGTCGACGCCCAGACGACCTTCGCGGACACGGACCCGTCCGGCAGGGGCTCCCAGGTGACGATGCGGCCCCGGCGCCGCGCGACGTAGGACGTGACGCCCGCGCGCGAGCTCGTGCGCTGCGACTTGCTCTCGGAGTCGCGGTCGCCGCCCTCGTAGTCCCACGCGTCGAAGTCGATCGCGTCGTCGGCGACGAGCCGCCGCCGCGACTCGACGCTCGGCACCTCGATCTCGATGGCCGACTCGTCGAGCGCCGGCGGCGCCTCGACGTCGCGCCGCGGCTTCTTCGGGATGGTCGGCGAGCGCGGTAGACGCAGCAGCCGAGCGCGGCCGCCAGGACCGCGGCGGCGACGGCGCCGCCGGCGAGGACGCCGCTCGCGCCGTCGACGTCGAAGATGCCCGAGGACGCGCGCTTCTTGGGCTCGGACGTCGGCGCGGGGGACGGCGCCGACGTCGGCGCCGGCGACGGGGCCGGCGACGGGTCGGGCGACGGCGCGGCCGTCGGCGCGTACGTGGGCCCGGGCGACGGCGCGGCCGTCGGCCGCGGCGACGGCCGCGGCGACGGCCGCGGCGTCGGGGATCGGGTCGGCCGGGGCGACGGCCGCGGCGTCGTGGGGTGCGCCGTCGGCCGCGCCGTCGGCCGCGCGGTCGGCACGGGCGCGGGCCGCGCCGTCGTCGGGCAGAGCGTCGGCGTCCTCGTGGGGCACGAGCTCGGGCACGCCGTCGGGCACGCCGTCGGGCTGCTCACGGGGCAGACCGTCGGCGCGCTCGCCGGGCAGGGCGTCGGGCAGGCCGTCGGGCAGGCCGTCGGGCTGCTCACGGGGCAGACCGTCGGCGCGCTCGCGGGGCAGGGCGTCGGGCACGCCGTCGGGCACGCCGTCGGGGCGCTCGCGGGGCACGACGTCGGGTCGGCCGAGGGGCACGTCGTCGGGCACGCCGAGGGACAGGGCGTCGGCGTGCTCGCGCCCGTGGGGCACCCGGAGGGCAGCCAGCCGCCGAGGTACGTCGGGCACGGCGTCGGCAGCGGCGTCGGCAGCGGGCTCGGCGCCTCGGTCGCGCAGGAGCACGCGCAGGCGACGTAGGCGCTGACGCCGCCCGCGTCGTCGCGGTCGCACCGCTTCCACGGCTTGGCGCCGACGTACTCGCACCCGCGATCCGGGTGGCCGTCCTGGTACCAGCTCGTCGAGTCGAGCGCGCAGCCGCCGTCGTCGGCGGCGGCGCACGCGACGAGAAGCAGGAGCGGGAGGCGGCGGCGCGGCGGCCGCCGCGGCGCCGCGCGGCCGGTCCGAATCATTCAGGGCCCGGCGGTGGCTGCCAAGGTCGACTGTGTGCGGGTCGAGGTCATGCTCTCCAATCGGGAAAATTCACATCAGCCCGGGCCTCAACCAAATATGACCGCCGGATTACCGGGTAGTGCCCGGGAGGCCTCGGTAATTACCGGTAATTACCGGGTAATTACCGCAGAAGGGTAATTACCCGGTAATCAGGGCGTCCGCGGACGGCTAGAGGCGGTATGGCGGCTCGAAAGGACCACCGCGAACCCGCGTGTCGACCGAATTCTCTTTTAGGTGGCTTCCACGCGACAACGCCGGCGGCGCGCTACGGCGTGGGGGCCGTCGCCCGGCGCGCCCGTCGCGACGTCGCGACGAGCAGCCGCTCGGTGGCGGTTTCGCGCCGCGCGTCGACCGCGACGCGAAACACGACCGCGACGGGCTGCGACGCTCGGATCGTCAGCCACGTGTACTAGCGGACCGCGGCCTGTACGCGGATTACCCGGTATCGAATTATGGCACCGGGTAATTACCGGTAATTACCGGTAATTACCATTACCGGTAATATACCGCCAAATTACTCCGGCGGCTATACAACCAAATGGATGCGGTCGATGTTACGGCTCGCGTCTGCTGCGCACCGTGCGATCCCACGGCCGAGCTGGCGCTAAGTTAGGCTCGGCAGTCCATCGCCGCAATCGAGGCACAACTCATATTCGAGGACTGGCAGTCGGCGCTCTCGCGCGGCGCGCCGCGGGCCCCGGGCGGCCGAGTCGCGGTCCACGGGCGCCGGCACGACTCGGACGCTGCTGAGTCCGAGTCGGGCGCGAGACGGACGATACAACGGGGTCGCAGCGCGCTACCTAGTCGCCTCAGCGAGCGGCTTGCCGACAGCTGAGGCCGGCGGTGAAGACAGCTTGCTTGAAGCTCTCTGAAGCGCAGAACAGCTCGAGGCTCTCCGAAGCTTTGCACCTGGCATCGCAATTCACGCGACCGCCTTACCCAAACGAAGCCCGCAAGCATCGAACACATCACCGGCACCCACCACATTGCCACCATGGCCACCCTCAACGACAAGGCGCTCGAGTTCCTGCAGCGCACGCCCACGAGCTCCAAGGACCGCGTCTTCCCCGAAGACCTCAACGAGCACGCGCTCCAGAAGCTCAACTGCACGCCCGCGGCCATCACGGACCCCGTCTTCTCCGAGTCCGTCGAGGAGATGAGCCGGCGCGTCAAGTTCGTCTGCTCGACGCCGCCCGGCGCGCCGCGGACGCTCCGCGGCGCGGCCGCGACGCCCGTGTCGCCGCTCCTCGGCAAGCGGCGCCTCGACCGGTCGCCGCCGCGGTCGCCCGACGCCCTCGGCGTGCGGCTCCCGTCCGTCGTCACGCCCGACAACAAGCCCCGCGACTGGGCGCGCGACGTCGAGGCGCCGCCCGCGCTCGACCTCGACGGGTCGCCGCGCGCGAAGCGCGTCAAGTTCTACTCGTCGCTCGCCGCCGTCAAGGAGGAGGCGCCCGAGGCCGCGCCCCACTGCGCCACGTGCGGCGGCGCGACGGTGCCGTGCCGCGGCAAGGCCTTCGAACGGAGCGACCTCGACTACTTCGAGCCCTGCGCGGGCCACGTCTGCCTCCGCTGCGACGCGCCGGCCTGCGCCGAGTGCGGCGGCGACGTCCAGGCCCTCCCCTTCTGCGCCGCCTGCCTCGAGATGGTCCAGCACGAGGCCGGGTCCTTCGTCGCGCACGTCCAGCCCTACTCGCGCTACCTCTGCAAGGGCGGCGGCGACGACTGCAAGTGCAACGCCATCATCTGCGACGGCTGCCACGCGCAGCACGAGCGCGGCGCCGAGCTCGCGGACCTCGGCCTCGACGGCACGCGCTACCTCGCCGACGACGACGAGCTCAAGTACTGCCTCCAGGAGGAGGTCACCGACGACACGCGGCTCTGCGGCGACTGCTTCGACCGCGTCCGCGACGTCGCCAAGGCCCGCCTCGCCGCGTGACGCGGCGCGCCCCTTCGCCCCTTCGCCCGCCGGCGCCGACGCCCTTCCGGTATGGAGGGGCATCCGCCCACCCTGTGTAACCCCCGTGACCCCCGACGGCGTTACCGCGCGCGGTTCATGCCGCCGTAGGTCTTGTTCCGCTCGCGCTCGACCTCGTCCCAGGACCGCTTCGGCTGCGGCGGCGGCGGCGGCGGCTTCTTCCGCGACCCGCGCGGCGCGAAGCGCGACGCGTAGTGCGACGGCGCGCCCGGCTCGCGCGCGCCGCGCCAGGACGGCGCGACGACCTCGCCCTGGCGCGCCTGCTGCGCGAGGGGCACGGCCTCCGGCGCGGGCAGCGCCTCGGGCACGTAGCCGAGGAGCGGCGCGTCGCCGCCGTCGGACCGCGCGCGCTTCCGCGATGTCGAAGGCTCCTTCTCCTTCTTGTGCGACTTCTTCTTGCTCTCCTTCTTGCGCTCCTTCTTGCCGTCCTTCTTGCCGTCCTTCTTCGACTTCTTCGCGGCCTTGGCCGCGCGCGCGACCGCGTCCGCGGGCGCGAGGCGCTTCCAGCCCTCAACGCGGTCCGCGCGGTCCGCCTCGGGCGCGAAGACGTCGACGCCGGCGCCGAGCGTGTGGGCCGACGCGAGCTCCTTGCCCTCGTAGACCGCGCCGGGCGCGAACTTGGATTTCGGCGCGTCGGCGGGCCCGTAGTGGCCCGCGGCCTCGGCCTCCTGGGCGTCGTCGCGGTCCCGGAGCTCGGGCGGCAGCTTGTACTTCTCGCAGTGGTCCACGCGGAGCGTGCGGCTCAGGAGCGACGCGCCGTTGCCGTTGTCCACTGCTAAGATCGTGCTCCGCTGGTCCTCGTACTTGGCCCAGCACCAGCCGCGCGGCTTGCCCGTCTTCTTGTCGCGCGGGTAGTTGAAGTCCTCGATCTCGCCCCACTGGCTCAGCACGCAGATGATGTCGCCCTCGCTCAGGTCCGTCGAGAGGCCCCCGACGTAGACCCAGGCGCTGTCCTTGTACTTGGCGTGCCACGACGCCTCCGCGGAGATGCCGAGCTCGAGCTCGCGCTCGTTGAGCTTCTGCACCTGCGCCATGTTGTTCATGGTCGCGAAGGGGGGCGCGCCGGCGCGACGCGATGCGGGTTAGCAGACGCTCAGAGATGCTTGGCGCCGGCCATTCTAGCCATCGCGGTGCCTCAAGGTGGTAATGTTTCTGTGTTGAACGTGCACGAGATGTGCACGCAACCTTTTGACGTTCAAAAAAATGGGCAGCGCTTGCTCTCGGTGAAGCTGCCCTTCGCCTGAGCCGTCGCCGCCGCAATGGCACCGCGCCGCTGGCGCTACTGGTGCGCATTTTTGGCCGCGCGGGCCGGCGCGACGGCGCCGACGGCAGCGCCCACGTCCACGGCGGCGCCGTCCTACTTGACGGACGCGCCGACCGCGACGCCCGCGCCGACGGCCGCGCCGAGTGCATCGCAGCCGCCGTCGACCACGCCGTCGGTCGCGCCGACGACGTGCACCGTAGACCCGGTCTTTTGCGTCTACACCGACGCCGTGACGGCGTACGCCATCGACGTCGTCCAAGGCGAGACGCAAGAAGTCTTCGCGATCCCGGCGAGCCAGCGGCGCACCTGGATCCAGCTGGACGCGACGGCGGACATCGACTTGAAATTGGAGACTTCCGGCGGCGTCGTGCTTCTGGACTACAGCACGGGCACAAACTGGGCGAATTCGTTGACGGAGTACACCTACGCCGGCATGACCTTCGATTTCTGCGTCGACGGCTGCGACGAGGACATCACCGTGGGACCGTACTACGACGGGAGCAGCTACAACGTCACCGGAGACGCGTCCTACTACAACGAGTACGTCTACGTCGACCGCGCGACGGAGGATCTGGTCGTCTCGGCGGTCGGCTACGGCTCCGGCACGGGCACGCTCAGCGTGCTCTACGACTGCCCGGGCACGTGCTGCACCTGCGCCGCGGCGACGTTCGCGCCATCGCCGGCGCCCTCCGCGACCCCGACGACGGCGGTGCCGACGACGGCGGAGCCGACGACGCCGCCGACGACGGCCGTCCCGTCCCTGTCCCCCACGACAGCCCCGCCGTCGGCCGCGCCGTCGCTGTTCCCGACGACGGCGGCGCCGTCGGCCGCGCCGTCGGTCGCGCCGACGACGTGCACCGTCGACCCGGTCTTTTGCGTCTACACCGACGCCGTGACGGCGTACGCCATCGACGTCGTCCAAGGCGAGACGCAAGAAGTCTTCGCGATCCCGGCGAGCCAGCGGCGCACCTGGATCCAGCTGGACGCGACGGCGGACATCGACTTGAAATTGGAGACTTCCGGCGGCGTCGTGCTTCTGGACTACAGCACGGGCACAAACTGGGCGAATTCGTTGACGGAGTACACCTACGCCGGCATGACCTTCGATTTCTGCGTCGACGGCTGCGGCGAGGACATCACCGTGGGACCGTACTACGACGGGAGCAGCTACAACGTCACCGGAGACGCGTCCTACTACAACGAGTACGTCTACGTCGACCGCGCGACGGAGGATCTGGTCGTCTCGGCGGTCGGCTACGGCTCCGGCACGGGCACGCTCAGCGTGCTCTACGACTGCCCGGGCACGTGCTGCACCTGCGCCGCGGCGACGTTCGCGCCATCGCCGGCGCCCTCCGCGACCCCGACGACGGCGGCGCCGACGACCGCGGGGCCGACGACGACGCCGACGACAGCCCCGCCGTCGGCCGCGCCGTCGCTGTTCCCGACGACGCCGGCGCCGTCGACCACGCCGTCGGTCGCGCCGACGACGTGCACCGTAGACCCGGTCTTTTGCGTCTACACCGCCGCCGTGACGGCGTACGCCATCGACGTCGTCCAAGGCGAGACGCAAGAAGTCTTCGCGATCCCGGCGAGCCA